CCCTTATTTTTAAAGGGTTTTTTTATAATTTTTAAAAGGTTTAAAATTTTTTAAAACCCGAATTTTTTCCCCCAATTTTTTAACCCAGTTTTGCACCCAAAAATTAATTCAAATATATCAATTCAACACGTTCTAGTTCAGTCACACTCATTCATCACTTTAGTTTTATGTTCCCAATTGTTTTTAACGGGTTATATGGTTTAAGTAACCACAAATCCAACATTTTTCCCAAATTATACCGTTTGAACAGCCACAAACGTCTTTTGATTCCCAATTTGTTTTCTATCAAGGTATACAGGTTTATCATTCACACTTTCATGCATACGACAACACTTGCACTGTTTTAACTTTTTATAGTACCTCCTATGGGTGTCTTTTGTTAACGTTTGCACAATTTAAACCTTATTTCCTATTTGTAATTCTCATTATTTACTGTTTTAAAATATTCTTTGTATTCACAGCCAAAATGGTACACAGTTTAAGCGTAGTATACAGTTATCACAACAGCAAAAATAGTACACAGTTATCACACTCACTCACAATACACAGTCATAATCCTATCATACAGTCAAATATGTCACACAGTCATAAATGACACACTTATATTCCACACACAATCAATGTGGGCACACAGCCGCGTCTATTTTATTCAAAACACTGTGCTGAACCTAGCCGCAACCCTTAGTTACGGACCTTGCCAGTCACCAGTATTATCTAAAATTTCCCGAACCTAGCCGTATCTCAGTTACGGACCTTGCCGGTGTAATTTCTCCGAACCTTAGTCGTACTGTCGTAGTTACGAACCTTGCCGATAGCAATTACTTAAGCCAATTATTCCCTATATCTTCCGAACCTTAGCCGTATGTCGCAATTACGGACCTTGCCGGTAGATGTCAGTATTGTCTCCTGAACCTAGCCGTATCTTAACGGACCTTGCCGGTAGAACCAACACTCTCTGGTACCATGGTTTTAAACATCACATTTAGCAAAGGTTTGCATGTCACAATATTGTGCTTATCTACTCATAATAGTTTCATAATTTAGTTCACTTACATCAGACAGTTGTTTCACAAAATTAATTTGGATAAAGCCAATGTGCAGATCTTCAGTTATTTAACAATAGGTATCTGCTTACCTTTTTAGAAGCCCGGGCAGTTTGTGAAACATACGGTTCGATGAAAGAGGTGACCAAATGTGCCGGACATTACCCCAGCAAAGTCCCTTCTACCAGACCGCGTCGGGGTCACCAATTGTCAAAGTCGCGTCAATTCAAATCTGGTATTAGGAACAAAAGAGGTCAACACGACTTCTAAGATATACTAGTTATTTTAATTAATGCAAAAACCTTCAATGGTAAATATGATGTTTCGTATATACGGGCTCTCTGAAATACCTCACAGGGCACTTCAGAGAACTAACAACATTGTTTCAGAAACAATACCCAAATACTCTGACAGAGAAAGTTTCCCACTTCTCTGCTGGCCAATTAGAGTAAAGACTTGAGCGTGGTTTAAACTTTCTCAGCCAATCCGTTGGTTCAGGGGTTGGTCTCATCTCCTCGGCGCCATTTGTTGCACACTTCAGCCAGGCACAAGATTATCATAACAACCTATCATAGTGAGAAGAGCCAGCTCCCTTAGACATCATTCCTACGTCCAAGGAAGGCTCACAGATCACAAAGAACCAGTATAGTCTAGCATTTGAAGACACATCCTTATCTCATTTTAACCCCCTAAAACAGCTCTTCACATCAATCACAGCCTTGCCAGGTGTCACAACCTACATTAGCCCAGTCAAGAAAGCATTCTTTCTAAGTTAGTCATCCCATCAATTTAGGAGAATAATAAATCCCCAATAGGTTTGTTGGTAAATTCAATCTGGAGTGCCAGTGTGCGCTCTGGACGTAAATTGAACGTTAAACTCTCGGAACGCTCACTGGACGCTGATCTCACGACGGCAGTCAAGCACCCAAGCTAACGTTGGCTAGCTTGCTTTTTACTTCCAGACACAAATGAGAGAACACCTCACTCTGACCATTTTACTCGCCCTAGCAGAGCTGGTTAGGCTGTTTTCATGTTATCCAGAGCGTTGTTGACTGTAACTGTGCTGCTGGCAACAATTTAATTACGCTTTTTTGCTGACGTTTACTGAGACCGGCCATATTCAACCAGTGTTGAGCGTTCGTAAATGAATCAGTTACTCTGCGCACTGGCACACTCAGATGAGAATGCTCTGAAATCGGATAGCCAGAGGAAATTTATGAACATACACAAATACGTCACAAAATGTCGTCATAATATATGCGTTAACTGTTTCGACTGGGAAGCATCCAGGAAACTTAAGGCACAGAAACTGGGGCAGCTTTGGAAGTCTAGCTAAAATATTCCCCTATTTTGACTAACAAGCCATGGCAATATACAATAAAACATCCCTGAAAACATTATCTTGGTTTTCCCAAGATATAAGGAAACTAAAACTAAACTACATTTCCATACTTACTACACCAGTAGAAACGCTCGTGTTCTAGCGATATTGACCCTTAAATGTCATGCACGTCCAGTTTCACTATTCGGTCTTTGATTGGACAGGATTAAAATAGAGACATCTGATTGGACAAAAATAATTGGAAGAAAAAGGCTGCACCCATGGACAAGTGTCACGCTATTATCAGAACAATGGTTATCTGATCAGGAAAGGCGATACAATAACAAAAGGGCTACTTATTTTTACTAATAACCTGCATATGATGTAAATAGAATAGGTGTAAAATTGTTGGAATTCTCATTATAAGATGGATGTATACTGTTTTTTTAAGAGACAGCAATGACAGTGTTCACAAGCTGCAAAACAAAGAGGCATTTTATTTTTGTCAATACACACCATGCCGTTTCTATGTTACTCTATTCTACTATATCTGCAAACTAATTCCATACATACCAACTGCCTTTGCCTGAGGGAATTAGTCAAACACCACAGGCATCTAAAACACAGTCCAGCATGAAAAAAAAAACACGAAGGTACTCTTAAGCATGGATGAGCATGTTAATCGCTGCATTACATTTCCAAATATCAACATTTCTGTTGTTATGGATCAGGCTCATTGTAATCAAATAATTATTTTGTACACACAAATAATCAATGCCCGGTGACTTCCCATATACACAACAGATTGTGGGTTTCTTTCTGTGCTACTATACAGACAAAGTGCTCTACGGACCAGGTTGACTGTTAGTGATAGATCAAGGGTTTACATTCTGGTGCTTGGACTGCCACTCACCTTGGGTTCTTATAATATTCTATAAAACACAGTGATCAATTTAATCTAAAGCAGATTCACCCTATCTCTGAGGAGATGCCACATGAGGCTATTCTGGTGCACACTCATTCTGGCACTAATGAGCAGTCTACTTCAACTGTTACAAAAATATACAAAAATATCTGTGCATTCACAAATCTTATCTCAAACCAGTAAAAGATAAATGCTTCTACTAAGCACAGTGCAGTCTCAAGTAGAGGAGTCGGGTGGGAGGAGCAGTAGGAAGATGGGCTAATTGTAATGGCTAGAATGGAATAATTGTAAAGGTATCAAACATATGGAAACCTAAATGTTCTCTTGTTTTTTACCCCCAATTTTGTGGTATCCAATTGGTAGTTACAGTCTTGTCCCATCGCTGCAACTCCCGTACGGACTCGGGAGAGGCGAAGGTCGAGAGCCGTGCGTCCTCAGAAACAACCCAACCAAGCCGCACTGCTTCTTGACACAATGCCCGCTTAACCCGGAAGCCAGCCGCACCAATGAGTCGGAGGAAACACCGAACACCTGGCGACCGTGTCAGCGTGCACCCGGCCTGCCACAGGAGTCGCTAGTGCGCGATGGGACAAGAACATCCCTGCCGGCAACACCCTCCCCTAACCTGGACGACGCTGGGCCAATTGTGCGCCGCCCCATGGGTCTCCCGGTCACGGCCGGCTGCGACAAAGCCTGGACTCTAACCTGGATCTCTAGTGGCACAGTTAGCACTGCGATGCAGTGCCTTAGACCGCTGCGCCACTCGGGAGGCCCCAGAAACCACGTTTGACTCCATTCCATCAATTCCATTCCAGCCATTACAATGAGCCAGTACTCCTATAACTCCTCCCACCAGCCTCCACTGGTCTCAAGGCATTCAGGTCGGCAGCAGGCAATATGGCTGGCCACCTCAGCTGGAGGAGGGGCCGGTGTGTCTCTGAAGCGGGGCGAGGATGACGTCAGCGTTCTTCTGCTCACTCTCGGCACTGTACAGGCCGTGCTCCCGGATGTAGCTCACCACCGGGTCCGGCAGTAAGTAGCGGACGGTCTGGCCCCTGCGCAGGGCCCGGCGCACGTGCGTGGCCGAGATCTCGTTGGTCACCCACTCGCGGACCACGTGGATGTTCTTGCGGTGCTTCCACAGCACCTCCGATTGGTGGATGAACTTGTGGGCGTCACAGCCGTTGCGGGTGATGCACACCAGGCCATAGCGGCCCACGATCTCTGCGATATCCTCGTGCTTCCACAGGTTGGGAACGCCGAAGGACTCCAGGACGTCCGCGCCGCACAGGAGCTTCAGCTGAGGGCCGTCGTCTAAAGGGTTCACGGACAGATGAAGAATAGTTTATTAATCCATACAAGACTGAAATGTGTCTTCTGCTGTACCGGACCTCCAATATAAACACACACAAATACACATTAAGCTAGAAAGTCTGAAGCAGTGTGCTTAAGTAAAAATCTGTGTGAATTTCCTGAATTCTGAGAAGGATTTTTGCATCTTAGGGTTCACTTACACTTAAGTGACAGGTATCAGGGAATGTTGCCAGACAATGTCAAAAAGTTGGCAACAATGTTCTGACTACTACAGAGACAGCCTGTGCCGGTAAAACATGTAACCAGCACCATGTACCTTTCCTTTTTATTACCTCAGGGCAGATCACCTGCTGTTCCACCATACCCATCGGTGTGACTAAGTGTCACTAGGTGTCACCAAACCCTATGTGGCTGGTAATGTCCCAGACGGACAGTAGTATTCAACAATTGCCGGCTCAATGAGTTAGAGCATGGTGCTGGCAACAATAGGGTTGTGGGTTTAATTTCCAAATGGGCCAAATAATGAGTATGTGTCACTACCAATGTCAATGGTTCTGTAAGTCACTTCGCATAAAAGTGTCTACCAAATTACTAAATTGTCATTACTAATCTGAGTGGAATTGATAGTACGAAACAATATAGCAGCAATGAATCCGTTGTGTTACCTGCCCTGGGTGTAGCACAGCATCCTCCTCTCCAAAGCAGAGCTAGTGTAACATCTGGGTAGTAAGAAATGTGTGCATTTGTCTGTGGTCTCGGAATGCTCGTTGAGAATGTCTCTGTTTTTACCTCTCCTTGTGTGATAAGAGGATGGCTCCTCAAAAGCGTGCTTTGTCTCCTCAATCCTCCTCTTCTTTGCAGTGTCCACATCGTCATTGTTCTGTTCCGCTGTCACCAGTTCTTTATAATGATGCCTAAAGCGCACAGAGACGACAATACAATTGACACGAGGGAGATAAAGCCCAATGGAACTAAGCAAGGATCATGGCAGAGTAGATTAACTTGTTATTATGGTTACAAAATGTCACACAACTAAATTACTTTTGGGTCGTTCCATTTCATTTCAATAACTTTTTGACAGCACCCCTTTTGATTTGAACAAAACTTGCTGTACATACTGTATATGCCCATGGCAGAAGTGGTCAGAAAGTAACTTTATGAGACCTGAATGCTAAAACATTTAGAAGATAGAGGTGCTCAAAGTTGACATTTTGCATACAGTGGGGGAAAAAAGTATTTAGCCAGCCACCAATTGTGCAAGTTCTCCCACTTAAAAAGATGAGAGAGGCCTGTAATTTTCATCATATGACAGACAAAATGAGATTTTTTTTTCCAGAAAATCACATTGTAGGATTTTTAATGAATTTATTTGCAAATTATGGTGGAAAAAAAGTATTTGGTCAATAACAAAAGTTTCTCAATACTTTGTTATATACCCTTTGTTGGCAATGACACAGGTCAAACGTTTTCTGTAAGTCTTCACAAGATTTTCACACACTGTTGCTGGTATTTTGGCCCATTCCTCCATGCAGATCTCCTCTAGAGCAGTGATGTTTTGGGGCTGTCGCTGGGCAACACGGACTTTCAACTCCCTCCAAAGATTTTCTATGGGGTTGAGATCTGGAGACTGGCTAGGCCACTCCAGGATCTTGAAATTCTTCTTACGAAGCCACTCCTTCGTTGCCCGGGCGGTGTGTTTGGGATCATTGTCATGCTGAAAGACCCAGCCACGTTTCATCTTCAATGCCCTTGCTGATGGAAGGAGGTTTTCACTCAAAATCTCACGATACATGGCCCCATTCATTCTTTCCTTTACACGGATCAGTCGTCCTGGTCCCTTTGCAGAAAAACAGCCCCAAAGCATGATGTTTCCACCCCCATGCTTCACAGTAGGTATGGTGTTCTTTGGATACAACTCAGCATTCTTTGTCCTCCAAACACGACGAGTTGAGTTTTTACCAAAAATTTCTATTTTGGTTTCATCTGACCATATGACACTCTCCCAATCCTCTTCTGGATCATCCAAATGCACTCTAGCAAAATTCAGACGGGCCTGGACATGTACTGGCTTAAGCAGGGGGACACGTCTGGCACTGCAGGATTTGAGTCCCTGGCGGCGTAGTGTGTTACTGATGGTAGGCTTTGTTACTTTGGTCCCAGCTCTCTGCAGGTCATTCACTAGGTCCCCCCGTGTGGTTCTGGGATTTTTGCTCACCGTTCTTGTGATCATTTTGACCCCACGGGGTGAGATCTTGCGTGGAGCCCCAGATCAAGGGAGATTATCAGTGGTCTTGTATGTCTTCCATTTCCTAATAATTGCTCCCACAGTTGATTTCTTCAAACCAAGCTGCTTACCTATTGCAGATTCAGTCTTCCCAGCCTGGTGCAGGTCTACAATTTTGTTTCTGGTGTCCTTTGACAGCTCTTTGGTCTTGGCCATAGTGGAGTTTGGAGTGTGACTGTTTGAGGTTGTGGACAGGTGTCTTTTATACTGATAACAAGTTCAAACAGGTGCCATTAATACAGGTAACGAGTGGAGGACAGAGGAGCCTCTTAAAGAAGAAGTTACAGGTCTGTGAGAGCCAGAAATCTTGCTTGTTTGTAGGTGACCAAATACTTATTTTCCACCATAATTTGCAAATAAATTCATTAAAAATCCTACAATGTGATTTTCTGGATTCTTTTCGCAATTTGTCGGTCATAGTTGACGTGTACCTATGATGAAAATTACAGGCCTCTCTCATCTTTTTAAGTGGGAGAACTTGCACAATTGGTGGCTGACTAAATACTTTTTTCCCCACTGTACCCCACCCTACCATGAGAGACATACAGTGAGGGAAATAAGTATTTGACCCCTCTGCAAAACATGACTTAGTACTTGGTGGCAAAACCCTTGTTGGCAATCACAGAGGTCAGATGTTTCTTGTAGTTGGCCACCAGGTTTGCACACATCTCAGGAGGGATTTTGTCCCACTCCTCTTTGCAGATCTTCTCCAAGTCATTAAGGTTTCGAGGCTGACGTTTGGCAACTCGAACCTTCAGCTCCCTCCACAGATTTTCTATGGGATTAAGGTCTGGAGACTGGCTAGGCCACTCCAGGACCTTAATGTGCTTCTTCTTGAGCCACTCCTTTGTTGCCTTGGCCGTGTGTTTTGGGTCATTGTCATGCTGGAATACGCATCCACAACCCATTTTCAATGACCTGGCTGAGGGAAGGAAGTTCTCACCCAAGATTTGACGGTACATGGCCCCGCCCATCGTCCCTTTGATGCGGTGAAGTTGTCCTGTCCCCTTAGCAGAAAAACACCCCCAAAGCATAATGTTTCCACCTCCATGTTTGACAGTGGGGATGGTGTTCTTGGGGTCATAGGCAGCATTCCTCCTCCTCCAAACACGGCGAGTTGAATTGATGCCAAAGAGCTCCATTTTGGTCTCATCTGACCACAACACTTTCACCCAGTTCTCCTCTGAATCATTCAGATGTTCATTGGCAAACTTCAGACGGGCATGTATATGTGCTTTCTTGAGCAGGGGGACCTTGCGGGCGCTGCAGGATTTCATTTAGTAGTGTGTTACCAATTGTTTTCTTGGTGACTATGGTCCCAGCTGCCTTGAGATCATTGACAAGATCCTCCCGTGTAGTTCTGGGCTGATTCCTCACCATTCTCATGATCATTGCAACTCCACGAGGTGAGATCTTGCATGGAGCCCCAGGCCGAGGGAGATTGACAGTTATTTTGTGTTTCTTCCATTTGCGAATAATCACACCAACTGTTGTCACCTTCTCACCAAGCTGCTTGGCGATGGTCTTGTAGCCCATTCCAGCCTTGTGTAGGTCTACAATCTTGTCCCTGACATCCTTGGAGAGCTCTTTGGTCTTGGCCATGGTGGAGAGTTTGGAATCTGATTGATTGATTGCTTCTGTGGACGGGTGTCTTTTTCCCTGTAAGAGTGTGCTCCTAATCTCAGCTCGTTACCTGTATAAAAAGACACCTGGGAGCCAGAAATCTTTCTGATTGAGAGGGGGTCAAATACTTATTTCCCTCATTAAAATGCAAATCAATTAATAACATTTTTGACATGTGTTTTTCTGGATTTTTTTGTTGTTATTCTGTCTCTCATTGTTCAAATAAACCTACCATTAAAATTATAGACTGATAATTTCTTTGTCAGTGGGCAAACGTACAAAATCAGCAGGGGATCAAATACTTTTTTCCCCTCACTGTATATGTCTTCATCACTGGAAAATAAATGGTTGAGTTTGATATAATTTAAAAGCTTGCAAACAGGGTTGTCAAACAATTTAACCTTAAACGTTAATTATCTAAAAACGTCAACTCAGATTTTTTCCATTTTTGCATATGTTGTAGATTAGACCCTATTTAACATCTGAGGTGTTTGTGTTGTGCCCGCCATTGGTTGAGACAACATGCTCTTGAACACAGGGTGGGTGTCATGTTTTGGGTGATAAATGTACTAAATACATGGGAATACAATTTAAATTTGTACTTCGAAATGGTAGCACAAAGATGATTGGAGGTCCACACAGTGAATGTTGACTTAAATGGAAATATATGAGTTGTTTTAAATTTGAATGTCAATCTTCCATAGGAAACCTGATCTTTGTGCTAGTACTTGGAAGTAAAAATGTCAATAAAATGTATCAATGATACTAAATTGCAGTGGTCTGAAGGGATTTGTTCATTCTATTAATTATATTTCTATGATTAAAATTACACCCACCTTGTATTCAAGAGTATGCTGTGTCTCAACCGATGGCGGGCACAACGCAAACACCTAAGGTGATGTAAAATAAGGTCTAAGCTACAGTATATGCGGGGTAAAAATAGTAATTTACACGTTTTAGATAATTGACATTTAAGGTAGTAAAAAAGTTATCTTTTAAAATAAATTATAAAATAGTAAGCTTTTAAATAATATAAAACTCAACCGTTTAGCCTATCTTTTCGAGTGATGAAGACATGGGTGTGTCATGGTAGGGTGGGGTATGCAAAACGGGTCAACTTTGAGAAGCTCGATCTCGTAAATGTTTTGGCATTCAGGTCCATAAAGTCACTTTCTGACCACTTCTACCATGGAAATATGTATGTAGTTTCGTTCAAATCAAAAGGGGTGCGTTCAAAAAGTGATTGAAATCAAATGGAATGACCATTCTGACACTAAAGTGACAGGTATGTAGCCTGGGTACCAGTCTTTTTTGCTAATCCACTCCCTGTACTTCATGCCAAAGTGACTGGCCTTTCTGCCATCTTCAATTATGACCATTCTATCATTAATGAACTCGAGGAGGACAGAGGATTATCACCCTCACAGCTATCCTCCAATCACAATGATTATGCAAATATTGCAACTATATCACTTTTTTTCTCCACAGAACACGTTTGTATCGTTTGCGAAGCAACCGTTTATTTGTATATATGAAACCAGTCTGTCAAAAGTTCCTAGCTCACATCTAAATTCTCAAACTAAATACATACTGCAATTCCAACCACAAAACGCCTCAAAATACAACTTGCCTAGCTAACAGCTAAATGTTTGTTTTTGACTTCGTTATAAATTATAGTTCTATTTTCAAGGCTCCACATGGAAAATATTAATGTTATTTCCAACAACCAATTAGCAACTCTGCTGTAAATCCAGCGCATATCAAATCAAATCAAATTTTATTGGTCACATGCGCCGAATACAACAGGTGCAGACATTACAGTGAAATGCTTACTTACAGCCCTTAACCAACAGTGCATTTATTTTAAACAAAAAAAGTAAGAATAAAACAACAACAAAAAAGTGTTGAGAAAAAAAGAGCAGAAGTAAAATAAAGTGACAGTAGGGAGGCTATATATACAGTAAAATAAAGTGACAGTAGGGAGGCTATATATACAGGGGGGTACCGTTGCATAGTCAATGTGCGGGGGCACCGGCTAGTTGAGGTAGTTGAGGTAATATGTACATGTGGGTAGAGTTAAAGTGACTATGCATAAATACTTAACAGAGTAGCAGCAGCGTAAAAAGGATGGGGTGGGGGGGCAGTGCAAATATTCCGGGTAGCCATGATTAGCTGTTCAGGAGTCTTATGGCTTGGGGGTAGAAGCTGTTGAGAAGTCTTTTGGACCTAGACTTGGCACTCCGGTACCGCTTGCCGTGCGGTAGCAGAGAGAACAGTCTATGACTAGGGTGGCTGGAGTCTTTGACAATTTTGAGGGCCTTCCTCTGACACCGCCTGGTATAGAGGTCCTGGATGGCAGGGAGCTTTGCCCCAGTGATGTACTGGGCCGTACGCACTACCCTCTGTAGTGCCTTGCGGTCAGAGGCCAAGCAGTTGCCATACCAGGCGGTGATGCAACCAGTCAGGATGCTCTCGATGGTGCAGCTGTAGAATTTTTTGAGGATCTGAGGACCCATGCCAAATCTTTTTAGTCTCCTGAGGGGGAATAGGCTTTGTCGTGCCCTCTTCACGACTGTCTTGGTGTGTTTGGACCATGATAGTTCGTTGGTGATGTGGACACCAAGGAACTTGAAGCTCTCAACCTGTTCCACTACAGCCCCGTCGATGAGAATGGGGGCGTGCTCAGTCCTCTTTTTTTTCCTGTAGTCCACAATCATCTCCTTTGTCTTGGTCACGTTGAGGGAGAGGTTGTTGTCCTGGCACCACACGGCCAGATCTCTGACCTCCTCCCTATAGGCTGTCTCATCGTTGTCGGTGATCAGGCCTACCACTGTTGTGTCGTCGGCAAACTTAATGATGGTGTTGGAGTCGTGCCTGGCCATGCAGTCATGGGTGAACAGAGAGTACAGGAGGGGACTGAGCACGCACCCCTGAGGGGCCCCCGTGTTGAGGATCAGTGTGGCAGATGTGTTGTTACCTACCCTTACCACCTGGGGGCGGCCCGTCAGGAAGTCCAGGATCCAGTTGCAGAGGGAGGTGTTTAGTCCCAGGATCCTTAGCTTAGTGATGAGCTTAGAGGGCACTATGGTGTTGAATGCTGAGCTGTAGTCAATGAATAGCATTCTCACGTAGGTGTTCCTCTTGTCCAGGTGGGAAAGGGCAGTGTGGAGTGCGATAGAGATTGCATCATCTGTGGATCTGTTGGGGCGGTATGCAAATTGGAGTGGGTCTAGGGTTTCTGGGATTATGCTGTTGATGTGAGCCATGACCAGTCTTTCAAAGCACTTCATGGCTACAGACGTCAGTGCTACGGGTCGGTAGTCATTTAGGCAGGTTATCTTAGAGTTCTTGGGCACGGGGACTATGGTGGTCTGCTTGAAACATGTTGGTATTACAGACTCAGTCAGGGACATGTTGAAAATGTCAGTGAAGACACTTGCCAGTTGGTCAGCACATGCTCGGAGTACACGTCCTGGTAATCCGTCTGGCCCTGCGGCCTTGTGAATGTTGACCTGCTTAAAAGTCTTACTCACATCGGCTACGGAGAGCGTGATCACATAGTCGTCCGGAGCAGCTGGTGCTCTCATGCATGCTTCAGTGTTGCTTGCCTCGAAGCGAGCATAGAAGTGGTTTAGCTCGTCTGGTAGGCTTGTGTCACTGGGCAGCTCGCGGCTGTGCTTCCCTTTGTAGTCTGTAATAGTTTTCAAGCCCTGCCACATCCGACGAGCGTCAGAGCCAGTGTAGTATGATTCAATCTTAGACCTGTATTGACTCTTTGCCTGTTTGATGGTTCGTCGGAGGTCATAGCGGGATTTCTTATAAGCGTCCGGGTTAGAGTCCCGTTCCTTGAAAGCGGCAGCTCTACCCTTTAGCTCAGTGCAGATGCATATTGAACATTGCGTTTGCGGAAAGCCAGGAGTAGAATGAAAGAGACTGGTACTCAGACTAATAGGTATGGCCATCGAGAAATGAGACCTTTGAAGATGCATTTGACTTAAATACACTTTACAAAAAAAAAACAAAAAAAAATTCCATCGGTCATTCTCATTGATAGCCCTTGATCATGACTCTCAGTTCCATTACATTACACGTCACTGGACGAAGGCGTCTTCTGTACATGGGTGATTTTGTTATGAGCCCAGACGCTCAGTCTGAACATTAACACTCATCGCTTGCGGTACGGTTTTGGAAGCATAAGGAACTTATCTTTCATATCAGCGAGAAATATTTTTCTAAAAACTAAAAAGTTAATTGATACACCCCTTTATAGGGTTAGAGTTAGTGTTCCCACTTGGCCATATCTCCATGTTACAGCACGTGTTTACGGAAGACAGACGGAAGACAGAGGGACCACCTGTGCTAATTAGCCATCTAGCATGCTCTGAACACCTGTGTGTAATGGAAGAAGGCAGACAGAAACGTGTTGTCACTGAAAAATACTGTCAGCTGCAACTGTGATAAAGCCAGTTAAAAGTGTACAGTAAGTGTATATTTTGTGTAACCCCTGGTTACTTTTTTTTATTTATTTTTTAGCACAGACTGTATTACTTATTGTGTACTGACATTGTTGCATGTGGGACATCTTTGGGAGACAGACCGGTTGCTAGGGAACAGTGTGAAGCGCGAGAGAAGATTCATGAAAGCTACAAGCCATTAACGTTAGCTAATTAGTTGTTTCAAGCAGTTTAAAAGTTGTGTAACTCGCTCACCAGTGAAAATAAAAGTTGTAAATATGACCGCTTGTAGTGGTGATATCATGCCATTGAGCACCCTCTCATTTTAACAGCTAGTTCCAATAGCACAGAGGGAAAGAGAATGGAGATGAATATGGAGAAGCTGATACAGTGGAGCAAGTGGGAGGACATTAGTGGTTTTGGGAGTGGAAAAGGAGCATGCGACATTGAAGGGGCTTTGGATGCCTTCGAGTTGTTTGGACTGCTTAAAGTTAAACTGTGTGCAACATCCTCAAACCAAGCGGGCCAGTGTTCTAGTTGAGACGACCTGTGGATCTCACTGCATTGTGTGGTTGAAGATGAGGAATAGGGCATAAAGTGGCAGTTGATCGGTCTAGGAAATGTAGCTCCTCCCTCTCCTGAGCAAATACCCACCACCACTTTCTCTCCTATGTCAGCGCCCCATAGTGAAGTAACAGAAACTACAGGCCTTCATGATGAGAGAAGGGATCTCAGATAGCGAGCTGAAGAACCTTGTCACACCCCAAGCCATAGCCTTAAGACATCATTGAAGCCATGGGGAAGGTTCTGAAGGAAGCTATGACGCATCACTACGAGACCAGTCCGTACAGAAGACTGCCAACTTTCAGTGGGACGGTTCCAAATGCCCCTTGGGCAAGAGGACATCGACTCCTGGATGGAACAAGTAAACCAGATGTTGCCAGAGTGGCACCGCTCCGACCCGGAGAAGAGAAAGAGACTCATCGAGAGTTTGAAGGCCCCTGCCCTGAGTGTGGCTACAGCGCTAAGAACTAACCACAAAGATGCATTGGTTGAAGACTACTTGAACATACTGGAGCACACATACGGCACAGCAGACTCAGGGGAGGACCTCTACTACAAGTTCAAGGGCCTGCAACAGAAACCAGGAGGGAAGATCTCAGATTTCCTCCTTCGACTAAAGAGGTATTTTCAGAAGGTCAAAGTGAAGAGAGGCATCGATGAGTCCAGGGTCAACATTGCACGAGTTGACCAGATCATCAAAGGAGTGCTGTACAACACTGAAATCCTGGTGCATCTTCGACTGAGAAAAAGAAGAGAGGCCGCCCACATTTCCAGTTCTACTGCAAGAGCTGAGGGAAGAAGAGGAGAGAGAAGCAGAGAAACACTCTCACAGAATCCCAAGTCCAGCTTCAGAAAGAGTCAACATCAGATGCTGGGGACAAAATCAAAGCTCTCCGCAAACAGGTGGAAGAACTGAAGTATGCCATAGCTGCAATGAAGGTGACCCCGGGTGCTTCATCTAACTCAGATAGACCAGCTCCACGTCCAGAGAGACCAGCTTTCTGTCCAGGGCCGAAGAGGAATAAAAACAACTTTTGCTATAACTGTGGTGAAGATGGCCACTCTTCCAGGAACTGTCAGAAGAGGAAAGAATGTAGTGGAATTCAACAGACGCTTCATCCATGCTCAAGGGAGGTCGGGAAACGGCAGAAGGGGACAGTAGAGGAGCCTACCGTGTCCCCCGTGCAGATGAGCTCTAGTTGTACAGGATGGGCTCGCTCTGCCCAGGGCCCTACCAGGGATATTTTTCTCTCCTCCTAGTATCCTTGGACCTGAGACGAACATTAACGTGAAAGTGAATGGAAAACCCTGTCATGTCATCCTAGACAGTGGCAATCATCCACCGGCAGTTCTACAAAAAGACACCTACAACACCTCCCTCTCCAGCCTTTAGAAGGGATAACCTTGTGGGGCCTAAGTGAGAGCAACTACCCTATGACGCTACATCAGCATCACCATTGAGTTCTCCCTTGAAGCTGTAGGCGTCCAGCAGCCTATTGAAACCCTTGCCCTTGTGTGTCCTGAGCCCCCCATGCAGGGGAACCCCTCCATGCTCATTGGGACCAACTTGAGCATGTTTGCCGTCTTGGGAAAGCTGTGTGAGAAGCTTAGGAGCTCCAGTGTCCACGAACAGTCCCCAATTAACCCTATGCTCATCCAAGCTTATGAAACCACGAGCAACAGAGAAATTCTCAAAAGGGATGGATCCATCGGATATGTGAGACGAGTGTCAGGGAAGTTATTCACTCTACCCCCTCTGACTGAAGGCAACAGAGGCTTACATGAAGTTCAACTCTGCTGAGAGAACCTGCACTGGTTTAGTGGAACCAGCTGAGAGGAGTGAGCTGCCAGCTTCTGTACTGAAGATGGCAGCAGCATAACTCTAAGGGTGAAGAATGAAAGCACTCAGGCAGTCACACTTCAACCCGAACTCAAGATGGCCGAATTACATCCAGTAGCTCACATAGCCCACACAGAAGTCACCAGTAAAGAAACCCTCGACCCTGACCTCCTTGACTTTGGCAACTCTCCCGTTCCCCCACAATGGAAAGAAAGGTTGAAAAGGAGACTGAAGGAACGGGACAAAGTGTTTTCTTTACACTAATGGGGTGTGGGCTGTGCAAGTGGAGTGGAACACACTCTCAAACTCATCGATGAACAACCATTTAGAGTGGTGCAGAAGAATGGTGCCCGCTGATGAAGATGTCTGGAAACACTTGAGAGCTGATGGCAGCGGGAATCATCTGAGTCACGCAGCCCATATGCCTCCCCCGTCGTCGTCCGCAAGAAAAATGGTCAGGTCAGACTGTGGGTTGACTATCGCACTCTGAACAGAAGAACCGTTCCAGACCAGTACGCTGTGCCAAGGGTGGACGACGCTTTGGACTGTCAGAGGATGCCTCAAGGAGTCACTGGATCCCCAGCTACTTTTCAACGCTTAATGTAGAAGGCTGTCAGCGACATGAACATCCTTGCAGGGCTGGTCTACCTGGATAACCTCATCATGTTTGGGAAAACCTTGAAGGAACATGAGGAAAGGCTGATGAAGGTCCTGGACTGTCTGGAAGCCTGAAGCTTTCCATCAACAAGTGCCAGTTCTGCCCGACCTCAGTGAAATACCTGGGCCACATCGTCTCCGACCAGGGTATCGATGCACTCACCTCATTGCCCAGATCAGAAAACCTCAAGGACCTCCAGTCGTTTCTTGGGTTCTGTGGATACTACCGGAGGTTAGTGAAAAGAATAAGCTTCGGTCATCAGACCCCTCCATGAGATGACCAGAGATTACACCCCCAAGAGGAAAAATGGCAAGACCACCAGTCCTCCCCCTCCCCTACCTGAAGGAGAAGGAGCTGTTTGGAGAACAATGGACAGCAGAGTGTGAGAGAGCCTTCCAGAACATCATCGAAGGCCTCACCAGCTCACTTGTGCTCGCCTCCGCTGAACCTGACAAGCTCTACGTCCTCCACATTGACGCCCGTCTGAGTGGCCTGGGTGGAGTGCTGTACCAGGAGTACCCTGAGGGATGGAGACCAGTGGCTTATGCAAAGCATGAGCTTTTCCAGGACAGAGAATAACTATCCAGCTCACAAGTTTGAGTTCCTGGGGCTAAAGTGGGCAGTGGCGGACAAGTTTCATGATTATCTGTATGGAGCAAAGTTCCTGGTGCGCACGGACAATAACCCCCTCACCTATGTGCAAACCACCGCCAAGCTGGATGCTACAGGCCAGAGGTGGACGGCCGCTCTCTCCAACTACGAGTTCAAGTTATAGTACAGGCAAGGGCGAGTGAACATAAACACCCTGTCAAGACGTCCACACATCAGTGCTGAAGAGGATGGAGACTGGGTTGAAATCCCCTCACCACGAGTCAGAGCCACTTGCCAAGCGATGCCTGCCAAAGACTCTTCAGACAGTATCTCAGAGTGTGCATCTATGAACATAGGGCCCCCCCCGAGGCTGTCCCGGAAGCATTCACTGCTCTAAAGATGGATGACCTATCCTGCCTGAGGATCTGCAACATGCACAGCTCCGGGACCCAGTAATAACCACTGTCAGCCAGACCCTGGGGTCAAGAAGAAAACCTTTCCTAAGCAGAAACACAAACCCAGAAGAGGCCATTCTCGTGAGGTCATGGGACATGCTCACACAGAGAGATGGAGTGCTGTACAGGAACCCCAAGAACTCTAGTTCTGTTGGACAGCGACAGCTGGTCCTTCCCCGAGAGTACCACCATGCTGTCATGAAATCACTGCATGACGATATGGGACATCGGGGCACTGAGATATCCTACCCCCATGGGCCGCTGAGCTAGTCAACATCACATAATATGCCATTTAGCAGACGCTTTTATCCAAAGCGACTTACAGTCATGCGTGCATACATTTATGTATTACATCTGATGCACCCATGGAGCTGGTCTGCATCAACTTCCTGATAGTGGAGAACGACAGCAGAAACATCCTAAAAATTACAGACCACTTCACCCGCTATGTCCAGGCATACCCTACCAAGGACCAGCTTGCATGCACAGTGGTCAAAGTCTTGTGGGAGAAGTTCTTTGTGCACTATGGACTTCCAACAAGAGTCCACTCCGATCAAGGAAGAGACTGAGAGCCGACTGATCCACCAAATGCTAACCCTTGTGGGGTGAAGAAGTCAAGAACCTCTCCCTGTCATCCTCAAGGGAACGCACAGGTGGAACGCTTCACCGCATGCTGCTGAACATGCTTGGCACTCTGGTTTCCAAGCAGAAATCCACCTGGAGCCCGCATATAGCTCACCTTGTGCACGCCTACAACTGCACGAAGAACGACTCCACTGGTTTCTCCCCATGCCACCTCATGTTTGGGAGAGAGGCCAGGCTACCAGTCAACCTGTGTTTCTGAGTGAGACCTGATAGAAGCCCTCCAAGCAACTACCTTCAGTACACAGTCAAGCTCCAAGACCAGCTCCGAGAGGCCTACAACCTTGAGTCAAGTGCTGCAAGGCAGAACAATGCTGCAAAGATGGCTCATGTGGACAAGAAGGTGACACACCATGACCTCCAGCCAAAGCACAAGATAGCCAATAGAAGCCGGAGCCGTACATCATTTCAAAGAAGCTCCCAGGCCTACCCATCTACCAGGTGAAGCCGTAAAATGGCCATGGACCAGTGAAAACCCTTCACCGAAACCACCTGCTGCCCATTTGCCAGTTAATGGAGCCTCTGCCAGCCAGGCCAGTCCAAACACAGAGTCAGAGAAGGAGAACCGAACAGCCCACCGGGAGCGCAGCTATCCAGGAGCCAGTCTCCACTCCCTTGCTGTTGGATGGATCTGAGGCAGAGGAAAGCAAATCAGAGGAAGGATTTGATTATCCCCAGATGCCAATACTCTCCTTGGAGTTCAGAAACCTCACCTGGCAGTTTCTAAATCCAGAGGCTACAGTGTTCACCCCGACTGCACCTGCCACAGTTAACCCAGAACCCGAAGGAGCCACAGAAGATGGACTGGAGAAGGACCCTGAGGAGGAAGCTGTTCAGCCCTCCAGATCCACAGTGGACACTCAGAACTGGCAAGGCTAGTAGCACCAAGCAAGAGTGTGGTGAAACCAGTAGTTAGGCTGTCTTATGATGAGTTAGGTACACCTCACAACACTACTGTAGTACCCCGAGGTATACGGGTATTTTGTATAAAAAGGGTAACAAGGTTATAAGTACTGCTGATGTTTTGAGAAGCATCCCTTTCATTGGAGGTATTTTTTATTTTCTTGGATGAAACATTATGTACGTTTATCTGTGTACTTTTATGATGTCAAGCTATGACACATTGACGATGATGTGTGTGTATCAACGGATTGCATGATTTTGAGGTCAAAGGTGTTGGGACTTGTCGGGAGGCCAAGTTCCATTTGTGAGGGGGTGTATGTAACCCCTGGTTACTTCTGTTTTGTTTTTTTAGCACAGACTGTATTACTTACTGTGTACCGACATTGTTGCTTGTGGGACATATTTGGGAGACAGACCGGTTGCTAGGGAACAGTGTGCGAGGGAAGAGGGGGGACTCACAAAAAATACAAGCAATCAACATTTGCTAGTTGTTTCAAGCAGTTTAAAGTTGTGTAACTCGCTCACCAGTGAAAATAAAAGTAGTAAATATTATGAATATTTAGTTGAGGATCCCCGATCACTGTGAGGGATTTTGTTGCTTGCACTTTCTCGGACTGAGAGGATCAACTGTCATCAACAGGCTACTCTTTCTGTCTCTCAACCGCGAGACAGTGTTAACATGGTCCTGAGTTGCCACTGGTCGTGGTAAAAGAGAGAGGAGTTCATAGTTTGAGCGGTCCCGTTTTAATTGAAGAGGACTGTTTTGTTTTTGTTTCACAAAAGAAACTGTCGGGCCGTTCCAGGGTGTTTTATTGGGCCAGCCACAGGTCAGTTGATTAGTGGTTTCCATTCGCGTGCTTCGCCTCGGTCACGCACCAGTAAAGCTTGGAACGGATTCTTAGACACAGGACCGTGAGTTTATATGGGACTGAGCATTTTTCTTGTTTATTTTATTGTGTTGAAGGGAGGGGATCCCCATTTTAAAGTATCTATGAGGTGTTAAACCCTGGTACAGGGTACAAATTGATATGAACTCAGGTCCCTCAGAAGAGAGGGCTACATTTGTTCTTCTACTAATCTCACTGCAACTCCCCTCCAAGTCTCCGACCACTACTTTGTATCCTTTTCTCTCTCGCTCTCCTCCAACACTACTCACTCTGCCCCTACTCAGATGGTAATGCGCCGTCGCAACCTTCGCCCTCTCTCTCCCGCTACTCTCTCCTCTTCCCTCCAATCTCCTGATTCTGCCTCCTCAACCCTCCTCTCCTCCCTTTCTGCATCCTTTGACTCTCTATGTCCCCTATCCTCCCGGCCGGCTCGGTCCTCCCCTCCTGCTCCGTGGCTTGACGACTCATTGCGAGCTCACAGAACAGGGCTCCGGGCAGCCGAGCGGAAATGGAGGAAAACTAGACTCCCTGCGGACCTGGCATCTTTTCGCTCCCTCCTCTCTACAATTTCTTCCTCTGTTTCTGCTGCTAAAGCCACTTTCTACCACTCTAAATTCCAAGCATCTGCCTCTAACCCTAGGAAGCTCTTTGCCACCTTCTCCTCCCTGTTGAATCCTCCTCCCCCTCCCCCCCTCCTCCCTCTCTGTGGATGACTTCGTCAATCATTTTGAAAAGAAGGTTGATGACATCCGATCCTCGTTTGTTACGTCAAATGACACCGCTGGTCCTGCTCACACTGCCCTACCCTATGCTTTGACTTCTTTCTCCCCTCTCTCTCCAGATGAAATCTTGCGACTTGTGACGGCCGGCCGCCCAACAACCTACCCGCTTGACCCTATCCCCTCCTCTCTTCTCCAGACCATTTCCGGAGACCTTCTCCCTTACCTCACCTCGCTCATCAACTCATCCTTGACCGCTGGCTATGTCCCTTCCGTCTTCAAGAGAGCGAGAGTTGCACCCCTTCTCAAAAAACCTACTTGAGCGTGCCGTCTTTAGCCAACTCTCTTGCTATCTCTCTCAGAATGACCTTCTTGATCCAAACCAGTCAGGTTTCAAGACTGGTCATTCAACTGAGACTGCTCTTCTCTGTGTCACGGAGGCTCTCCGCACTGCTAAAGCTAACTCTCTCTCCTCTGCTCTCGTCCTTCTAGACCTATCTGCTGCCTTTGATACTGTGAACCATCAGATCCTCCTCTCCACCCTCTCCGAGTTGGGCATCTCCGGCGCGGCTCACTCTTGTATTGCGTCCTACCTGACAGGTCGCTCCTACCAGGTGCCGTGGCGAGAATCTGTCTCCGCACCACGTGCTCTCACCACTGGTGTCCCCCAGGGCTCAGTTCTAGGCCCTCTCCTATTCTCGCTATACACCAAGTCACTTGGCTCTGTCATATCCTCACATGGCCTCTCCTATCATTGCTACGCAGACGACACACAATTAATCTTCTCCTTTCCCACTTCTGATAACCAGGTGGCAAATCGCATCTCTGCATGTCTGGCAGACATATCAGTGTGGATGACGGATCACCACCTCAAGCTGAACCTCGGCAAGACGGAGCTGCTCTTCCTCCCGGGGAAGGACTGCCCGTTCCATGATCTCGCCATCACGGTTGACAACTCTGTTGTGTCCTCCTCCCAGAGTGCAAAGAGCCTTGGCGTGACCTGGACAACACCCTGTTGTTCTCCGCTAACATCAAGGCGGTGACCCGATCCTGTAGGTTCATGCTCTACAACATTCGCAGAGTACGACCTGGCCTTACACAGGAAGCGGCACAGGTCCTAATCCAGGCACTTGTCATCTCCCGTCTGGATTACTGCAACTCGCTGTTGGCTGGGCTCCCTGCCTGTGCCATTAAACCCCTACAACTCATCCAGAACGCCGCAGCCCGTCTGGTGTTCAACCTTCCCAAGTTCTCTCACGTCACCCCGCTCCTCCGCACACTCCACTGGCTTTCAGTTGAAGCTCGCATCTGCTACAAGACCATAGTGCTTGCCTACAGAGCTGTGAGGGGAACGGCACCTCCGTACCTTCAGGCTCTGATCAGTCCCTACACCCAAACGAGAGCATTGCGTTCATCCACCTCTGGCCTGCTGGCCCCCCTACCTCTGCGGAAGCACAGTTCCCGCTCAGCCCAGTCAAAACTGTTCGCTGCTCTGGCACCCCAATGGTGGAACAAGCTCCCTCACGACGCCAGGACAGCGGAGTCACTCACCACCTTCCGGAGACACTTGAAACCCCACCTCTTTAAGGAATACCTGGGATAGGATAAAGTAATCATCTACCCCCCCTTACCCCACCCCAAAAATGTTTATTGTAAAGTGGTTGTCCCACTGGCTATCATAAGCTGAATGCATCAATTTGTAAGTCGCTCTGGATAAGAGTGTCTGCTAAATGACGAAAATGTAAATTACATTTGCATTTGTGAAATTATTTTGACATTATATGAAATTAAAGGGCTTTATGTTTCTAGAACCGTATCGCAATTGAGAATGGATTCAAATTTAGATGTTAGTTTTTGGCTGCCAGTGAGAGGGGTTGTCAAATCTATTTTGATTTAGTGAGTTTGTGTGATACAAAAATAAAAAAAAGCATTACTTGCACTGCGCAGAAAGACTCCGGCATAACCGAGCCCAAGATGTGCTCTTAAGGAGCCTACCGTGACTACTTAAGGTCCAAGGACCTTATGTTATTTTCAGAGGTAGAAAAAAATATAAGGTCCTTGGACCTTAAGTAGTCACGGTAGGCTCCTTAAGAGCACATCTTGGGCTCGGTTATGCCGGAGTCTTTCTGCGCAGTGCAAGTAATGCTTTTTTTTATTTTTGTATCACACAAACTCACTAAATCAAAATAGATTTGACAACCCCTCTCAATAACTGAGCTACAGTCTCCACACACAAATGATCAGCACTCACCGCATCACTTTAGCTGTCTCCACCCAGTCAGGCTGCTGGCTCTCCCATGCGTCTACCTTGATCCAGTCAGAGGTGTCTGTGGCCAGCCTGGCCATATCTACACGGTGACAGGCCTCAATCAGACCCTTCTTCTTATAGCCGTCACCCACTGCAGAGATGATGCCCCTCACAACTATGTACTGTCCTGAGACATAAAGAAAGAGGAGTTGGGCCAGCTAATTTTGTAGATTTTTAGATTTTAGTCATTTTTACAGTTAGTGAGTGCATATATTTTCATACTGGCCCCCCGCGGGAAACGAACCCACAACCCTGGCATTGCAAACGCCATGCTCTACCAACTGAGCTACATAGGGCCTACAGTAGAGCACATGATGACAAAACAAATTCAGTTAAATACAAAATACTACCACTCTTATTTGACTAGGTCTAGGCCTACTTCTCATAATTGGGAAGCAATGCAAATGTCTAAGGAATTAGGTCCTAAACTCACAAAATACAATAAAGTGATGATTTACAAATTCATAATCTGTTACAGACGACAGATTATCAATAGACATACCTGTATCCTCCAGGAAATCCCGTGCCAGTTCAAACATACGCAGGTGCATATTGGTTATGGGGTTGAAAGACCCACAAGCCAGCAGCACCACTTTGGTTAGATCTTGAGGCTCCATTGATTACTGTACATATGAGCTATTCACTAAGGACAGTCTCAGCACTGAAAGAGAAAAATACAAAGAGATGTTGACAAACATTTGTGACAGGAAGGGTTTAGATTTCAAAACTCTTTACTGAATGTGTATATGTTGTATACGTTGCAACTTTTTGTTGCCTTTGGCACAATTTATTTATTCTATTTTATAGTATTTCAGACAATATAATTAAATAAAAACTGTGTAAAGGGGTGAATACTTTTTCAAGGCCCTTTGTAAAGTGAACAATTCAGTGACTATTCCATTTTACATTACTTTAAATGTGATAGGCTGCTCTATCTTATTAACAGCACTATCAACAAGGCAGGTCCTACAGGCCCTAGTTTTGTCACACATGGACTACTGTTCAGTCGTGTGGTCAGGTGCCACAAAAATGGACTTACGAAAATTGCAATTGGCTCAGAACAGGGCAGCACGGCTGGCCCTTGGATGTACACAGAGAGCTAATATTAATAATATGCATGTCAATCTCTCCTGGCTCAAAGTGGAGGAGAGATTGACTTCATCACTACTTGTATTTATGAGAGGTATTGACATGTTGAATGCACAGCTCGGACACCCATGCATACCCCACAAGACATGCCACCAGAGGGCACTTCACAGTCCCCAAGTCCAGAACTATGGGAGGCGCACAGTATTTTATTATTTATTTTTAGTCATTTAGCAGACGCTCTTATCCAGCGCGACTTACAGGAGCAATTAGGGTTAAGTGCCTTGCTTAAGGGCACAGACAGATTTTTCACCTAGTCGGCTCGGGGATTAGAACCAGCGATCTTTCGGTTACTGGCACAACGCTCTTACCCACTAAGCTACCTGCCGCCCTACTACATAGAGCCATGACTACATGGAACTCTATTCCATATCAAGTAACTGATGCAAGTAGTAAAATTAGATTTAAAAAACATTTAAAAAAGCACCTTATGGAAGAGCGGGGACTGTGAAGCAACACAAACATAGACACAGACACATGCATACACACACACACGATAACACACACACACGTACACATGGATTTTGTCCTGTAGATAGGTGGTAGTGGTGGAGTAGGGGCCTAAGGGCACACAGTGTGTTGTGAAATATGTGAATGTATTGTAATGTTTTTAAAATGGCATGAACTGCCTTAATTTTGCTGGACCCCAGGAAGAGTAGCTGCTGCCAATGAGGATCCATAATAAATACAAATATGACTTATGAATGGAGCAAATAGAACGTTGGTAGCATAGGTCTATGTGTTCATTACTGTGTTAGCCTACTGCATAACGATATCAATCTTATGGACTTAAGACTTACAAAGTATAAGAGGCTGTATGCGTATGGACTTTTGACTTGCAAAAGTGAAAGTGTGGAACTGAAAGAGCTTTAAGAGCTGCACCATGTAACTTTATCCTTGGAATGCCCCAGTGGTGGCTAATTAGCTAAAATGCTAAATTGTCCGTGATGAGGTTCAAACTCACAACCTTTGGGTTGCTAGGCATTCGCTATATGCACTCATCCAGTCACCTCAACCAACCACCCTACTTTCGTTGATGCCTTAAGTAACAATCTGTCTTATGTAACCATAGCAAACATATCATACTAATTAAAGTTCGCCGAATGTACACACAGAACAATACGAAATGCTCTGAGACCAGGTTGCAACAGGAACTTTTCAACTACTTACCATGTTAGCTAACCCTAACCCGTTTAGCTAACCCTCCCCTAACCTTAACTCTTACGCTTAACTCCTAAACTTAACCCTAACTGTAATCCTAGCCTAGCTAGAATTCGTAACATATCATACGTTAAGCAATTCTTAACACATTGTACGTTTTCAATTAGTTAAATATAATACGAACTGTAATTCGTAACATAACATACGAAATGGGTGATGGACATCCACAAATTAATACATACCATACGTAAGATCAAACTAAAAGGTTCGGTTTGCTCCTAGCCGAAGCAAACGTCTGTTCCTCGTTTACTCCCTTAAAAATACATTAGCTTGAAACCCGACCCAAAAAACGGCAATTTGTCCCTCTAGAGACACTGTACACAACAAAATATAGCAACACTTCGTCAAAATAGTCAGAATCAAAGTTAAATCTGTCATTAATTTTGACGACGAGGTCTTAGTTTTACATTTCACTAAGACGTTTGGTCCAGTATTTCTCAAGTGAAAAAATGTGCATGAAAAATAGTATTCTGTCGTTGAATGACAACAAACACTTCATTGAAGAATCCCTGCTGTTGACCAATCACCGACGAAGGGGCGTAGACTTCGTCTACTTCGTCTTGACTCAGAAACCTAAACCTAACCCTACCCCTACCTTCTTCTTCTTCTTCGGTGGGGTTTAACGGGAAGTCTTCAATACGACATACAAATGGAAGGCTATTTCGTTCGTCTAGCTAAAATATTAGCCTATTTTGACTAACAAGCCATGGCAATAGACAATAAAACATCCTTGAAAACATTCGCTTGATTTTCCCAAGATATAAGGAACCTAAAACGACCCTTTAAAATGTAATGCACTTCCCGTATCACTATTCGGTCTTCGATTGGACAGGATTAAAATAGAGACATCTGATTAGACAAAAATAACCGGAAAGGAAAAGGCCGCACCCACGGAATAAGGGTCAAGTGTAGATGGGATCCAGCTTTTGTCACATTTATGTTAAAATATATATTTTTGTTGCATTTTATCTAACCCTAACCCTTTTCCTAATTTTAACCCAATTCTTCTAACCTGCAACATTTAACCTACTGCATCATTTCTCATAAACCTGCTACGAAAAGTCAATTCGGACAAATTCTGGATCCCTTCTATCCATGACTACGGACAAGAGCTACGTTCACAACTCCCACACACACTCCCAAACGTTTTTACAGGAATTTTTTTACACATTTCATGGAGAAGTATTCAAAGATATGTTCACCTCTTCCCTAAGTTGATTGTGTTGAGACGATTTCTATTGTTGTAACGATCAGGTGAGGAGGATTTATTTGATTTTTTTTTCCAGGCCAGCAGCTAGCCAACTACAACCACAGGACAATATATTTTGAATATTCTATTCTAAATGTGTTTCTAATCTACTACACTAAACAAACAACCTGGCCCAGACAGATGTATCTGGTGGCCAGTGGTAACAAGGTAGCTAACTACAGTAGCTAGCTAATAGCGAATGTTCTTGTCAAATGATAGACAGCTCCGTTGTGTTTGTAACTAGCTAGTTAATCCACAAGTGATACATGAAATTGAACTGTTTTCTCACTAAATGTGATATTTGCAGGGTGGCAGCATGGCTTCTCGTGGCAAATCAGAAACTGGGAAACTAAAACAAAACATGGAGGAGCAACTAGACAGATTGATGCAACAGCTCCAAGATTTGGAAGAGTGCAGGTACCCTCATCATCAGTCATTTCTAACTGTGAACATCATGTGGGTTGTCTGGATGTTCCACGCACAGAACTAGAATGATTCATTCAATGTATTATATTTATATGATTCCTCAAAGTGATACAGTGGGGAAAAAAAGTATTTAGTCAGCCACCAATTGTGCAAGTTCTCCCACTTAAAAAGATGAGAGAGGCCTGTAATTTTCATCATAGGTACACATCAACTATGCCAGACAAATTGAGAAAAAAAAATCCAGAAAATCACATTGTAGGATTTTTAATAAATGTATTTGCAAATTATGGTGGAAAATAAGTATTTGGTCACCTACAAACAAGCAAGATTTCTGGCTCTCACAGACCTGTAACTTCTTCTTTAAGAGGCTCCTCTGTCCTCCACTCGTTACCTGTATTAATGGCACCTGTTTGAACTTGTTATCAGTATAAAAGACACCTGTCCACAACCTCAAACAGTCACACTCCAAACTCCACTATGGCCAAGACCAAAGAGCTGTCAAAGGACACCAGAAACAAAATTGTAGACCTGCACCAGGCTGGGAAGACTGAATCTGCAATAGGTAAGCAGCTTGGTTTGAAGAAATCAACTGTGGGAGCAATTATTAGGAAATGGAAGACATACAAGACCACTGATAATCTCCCTCGATCTGGGGCTCCACGCAAGATCTCACCCCGTGGGGTCAAAATGATCACAAGAATGGTGAGCAAAAATCCCAGAACCACACGGGGGGACCTAGTGAATGACCTGCAGAGAGCTGGGACCAAAGTAACAAAGCCTACCATCAGTAACACACTACGCCGCCAGGGACTCAAATCCTGCAGTGCCAGACGTGTCCCCCTGCTTAAGCCAGTACATGTCCAGGCCCGTCTGAAGTTTGCTAGAGTGCATTTGGATGATCCAGAAGAGGATTGGGAGAATGTCATATGGTCAGATGAAACCAAAATATAACTTTTTGGTTAAAAACTCAACTCGTCGTGTTTGGAGGACAAAGAATGCTGAGTTGCATCCAAAGAACACCATACCTACTGTGAAGCATGGGGGTGGAAACATCATGCTTTGGGGCTGTTTTTCTGCAAAGGGACCAGGACGACTGATCCGTGTAAAGGAAAGAATGAATGGGGCCATGTATCGTGAGATTTTGAGTGAAAACCTCCTTCCATCAGCAAGGGCATTGAAGATGAAACGTGGCTGGGTCTTTCAGCATGACAATGATCCCAAACACACCGCCCGGGCAACGAAGGAGTGGCTTCGTAAGAAGCATTTCAAGGTCCTGGAGTGGCCTAGCCAGTCTCCAGATCTCAACCCCATAGAAAATCTTTGGAGGGAGTTGAAAGTCCGTGTTGCCCAGCGACAGCCCCAAAACATCACTGCTCTAGAGGAGATCTGCATGGAGGAATGGGCCAAAATACCAGCAACAGTGTGTGAAAACCTTGTGAAGACTTACAAAAAACGTTTGACCTGTGTCATTGCCAACAAAGGGTATATAACAAAGTATTGAGAAACTTTTGTTATTGACCAAATACTTATTTTCCACCATAATTTGCAAATAAATTCATAAAAGATCCTACAATGTGATTTTCTGGATTTTGTTTCCTCATTTTGTCTGTCATAGTTGACGTGTACATATGATGAAAATTACAGGCCTCTCTCATCTTTTTAAGTGGGAGAACTTGCACAATTGGTGGCTGACTAAATACTTTTTTCCCCCACTGTACATGTAGCATTAATGGAATTTAGAGCACATCTCTGTACACCCATAGATATTGTTCCTCCATTACCAGGGCTCTCTGTTTATTCTAGAGAAGACCTAGATGAGGAAGAGTATGAGGAGACCAAGAAGGAAACCCTGGAGCAGTTGAGTGAGTTCAATGAGTCTCTGAAGAAGATGGTGACAGGCAACATGACACTGGTGGATGAGCTTGGAGGAATGCAACTGGTAGGGACTTTGGATGACCAGACCTTAGAATTAAGTAGAATACTATGAATATAAATAATATACTTCAGGGGTATCAAACTCATTCCATGGAGGTTCTAGGGTCTGCTGGTTTTTGTTAATTCCTTTAAATGTGTGTCCAATTAAAACCTAGACAACTAGGTGATGGCAGTTCCTAAATAATCAATTATCAATCAAGTGTAAGGAAGGAGCACTTGCATTAAAGAACATAATTGGTTAAAGAAAACTGTGATAAATAAAAAAGTATACCAGTTTCATTTAAGGACCAAAAGATTGACAGCCGTCCCATATAGATTGCAAAATAGTTGGGAAGAGATTTTTGACGTACCAATTCCATGGCATAGTGTTTATCAACTGATACGCAAAACGACGCCGGATTCAAAACTTATAATTTTTCAATTTAAATTATTATATAAAATTCTTGCAACCAATAGAATGCTATGTATATGAGGGATACAATCTTCCCAGCTCTGCAGATTTTGCTGCGAAGAGACAGAATCATTAGATCATTTGTTTTGGGACTGTCCATTTGTAGCTTGTTTTGGGACAGGAATGGCTAAAGGATTGCAATATTTACCTGGAGCTAACCTTGCAGATAGCAGTACTGGGTGATCTGAAAAGTCATAGTCAATCGATCAATAATATAATAATACTTTTAGCAAAAATGTTTATTTTCCATTTACAATCTGTAGCAACAATGAGAATAGAAAGGTTCAGAATTTTTGTAAAACATCACAGTACAGTTGAAAAATATATGGCAAATAGAAATCCAATATGGATGGTATTAAGAGATAGATGGGTGGTGTTGAATGGAGTTGAAGGATGGGACTAATAACATCTAACAACAAGCAATAACAACAAGATAACTAATAATGTAAGCATACTGTGTCCATAATAAGCATAATAAGTATATAGGTTATAGGTTGAGAGCTTTTGTGAAAGAGCACAAGATATGGCATATAGAAGCAAACCGGATGGACATCATGAAAATGATCGGAGAGGTTGAGGGTAGAGGAAGTTCAACAGTAAAAACAAACAAAATAGAATTATTGTAAAATTGACTGTGTCCATAAAATGTATATAGTATGTATAAGCTGGAAGTAGAGGCCTAAGCGTTGTTGTTCACTAGTTTACTCCAATTAGGGAAGGGGTGGTGGGGTTGGAAGATAATAAAGGGAAATATATTTTTTTAAAGGATGTGTATGTATGTATGTACAGTGGGGAGAACAAGTATTTGATACACTGCCGATTTTGCAGGTTTTCCTACTTACAAAGCATGTAGAGGTCTGTAATTTTTTTATCATAAGTACAGTTCAACTGTGAGAGACGGAATCTAAAACAAAAATCCAGAAAATCACATTGTATGATTTTTAAGTAATTAATTTGCATTTTATTGCATGACAAACGTATTTGATACATCAGAAAAGCAGAACTTAATATTTGGTACAGAAACCTTTGTTTGCAATTACAGAGATCATACGTTTCCTGTAGATCTTGACCAGGTTTGCACATACTGCAGCAGGGATTTTGGCCCACTCCTCCATACAGGCCTTCTCCAGATCCTTCAGGTTTCGGGGCTGTCGCTGGGCAATACGGACTTTCAGCTCCCTCCAAAGATTTTCTATTGGGTTCAGGTCTGGAGACTGGCTAGGCCACTCCAGGACCTTGAGATGCTTCTTACGGAGCCACTCCTTAGTTGCCCTGGCTGTGTGTTTCGGGTCTTTGTCATGCTGGAAGACCCAGCCACGACCCATCTTCAATGCTCTTACTGAGGGAAAGAGGTTGTTGGCCAAGATCTCGCGATACATGGCCCCATCCATCCTCCCCTCAATACGGTGCAGTCGTCCTGTCCCCTTTGCAGAAAAGCATCCCCAAATAATGATGTTTCCACCTCCATGCTTCACGGTTGGGATGGTGTTCTTGGGGTTGTACTCATCCTTCTTCTTCCTCCAAACACGGCGAGTGGAGTTTAGACCAAAAAGCTCAATTTTTGTCTCATCAGACCACATGACCTTCTCCCATTCCTCCTCTGGATCATCCAGATGGTCATTGGCAAACTTCAGACGGGCCTGGACATGCGCTGGCTTGAGCAGGGGGACCTTGCGTGCGCTGCAGGATTTTTAATCCATGACGGCGTAGTGTGTTACTAATGGTTTTCTTTGAGAATGTGGTCCCAGCTCTCTTCAGGTCATTGACCAGGTCCTGCCGTGTAGTTCTGGGCTGATCCCTCACCTTCCTCATGATCATTGATGCCCCACGAGGTGAGATCTTGCATGGAGCCCCAGACCGAGGGTGATTGACCGTCATCTTGAACTTCTTCCATTTTCTAATAATTGCGCCAACAGTTGTTGCCTTCTCACCAAGCTGCTTGCCTATTGTCCTGTAGCCCATCCCAGCCTTGTGCAGGTCTACAATTTTATCCCTGATGTCCTTACACAGCTCTCTGGTCTTGGCCATTGTGGAGAGGTTGGAGTCTGTTTGTTGAGTGTGTGAACAGGTGTCTTTTATACAGGTAACGAGTTCAAACAGGTGCAGTTAATACAGGTAATGAGTGGAGAACAGGAGGGCTTCTTAAAGAAAAACTAACAGGTCTGTGAGAGCTGGAATTCTTACTGGTTGGTAGGTGATCAAATACTTATGTCATGCAATAAAATGCAAATTAATCACTTAAATCATACAATGTGATTTTCTGGATTTTTGTTTTAGATTCCGTCTCTCACAGTTGAAGTGTACCTATGATAAAACCTCTACATGCTTTGTAAGTAGGAAAACCTGCAAAATCAGCAGTGTATCAAATACTTGTTCTCCCCACTGTATGTATGTACAGTGAGGGGAAAAAAAGTATTTGATCCCATGCTGATTTTGTACGTTTGTCCACTGACAAAGAAATGATCAGTCTAAAATTTTAATGGTAGGTTTATTTGAACAGTGAGAGACAGAATAACAACAAAAAAATCCAGAAAAACCCATGTCAAAAATGTTATAAATTGATTTGCATTTTAATGAGGGAAATAAGTGTTTGACCCCCTCTCAATCAGAAAGATTTCTGGCTCCCAGGTGTCTTTTATACAGGTAACGAGCTGAGATTAGGAGCACACTCTTACAGGGAGTGCTCCTAATCTCAGTTTGTTACCTGTATAAAAGACACCTGTCCACAGAAGCAATCAATCAATCACATTCCAAACTCTCCACCATGGCCAAGACCAAAGAGCTCTCCAAGGATGTCAGGGACAAGATTGTAGACCTGGGCTACAAGACCATCGCCAAGCAGCTTGGTGAGAAGGTGACAACAGTTGGTGCGATTATTTGCAAATGGAAGATACACAAAATAACTGTCAATCTCCCTCGGCCTGGGGCTTCATGCAAGTTCTCCCCTCGTGGAGTTGCAATGATCATAAGAACGGTGAGGAATCAGCCCAGAACTACACGGGAGGATCTTGTCAATGATCTCAAGGCAGCTGGGACCATAGTTACCAAGAAAACAATTGGTAACACACTACGCCGTGAAGGACTGAAATCCTGCAGCGCCCGCAAGGTCCCCCTGCTCAAGAAAGCACATACAGGGCCGTCTGAAGTTTGCCAATGAACATCTGAATGATTCAGAGGAGAACTGGGTGACAGTGTTGTGGTCAGATGAGACCAAAATCGAGCTCTTTGGAGGAGGAGGAATGCTGCCTATGACCCTAAGAACACCATCCCCACCGACAAACATGGAGGTGGAAACATTATGCTTTGGGGGTGTTTTTCTGCTAAGGGCACAGGACAACTTCACCGCATCATAGGGATGATGGACAGGGCCATGTACCGTCAAATCTTGGGTGAGAACCTCCTTCCCTCAGCCAGGGCATTGAAAATGGGTTGTGGATGGGTATTCCAGCATGACAATGACCCAAAACACACGGCCAAGGCAACAAAGGAGTGGCTCAAGAGGAAGTACATTAAGGTCCTGGAGTGGCCTAGCCAGTCTCCAGACCTTAATCCCATAGAAAATCTGTGGAGGCAGCTGAAGGTTCGAGTAGCCAAACGTCAGCCTCGAAACCTTAATGACTTGGAGAAGATCTGCAAAGAGGAGTGGAACAAAATCCCTCCTGAGATGTGTGCAAACCTGGTGGCCAACTATAAGAAACGTCTGACCTCTGTGATTTCCAACAAGGGTTTTGCCACCAAGTACTAAGTCATGTTTTGCAGAGGGGTCAAATACTTATTTCCCTCATTAAAATGCAAATCAGTTTATAACATTTTTTACATATGTTTTTCTGAATTTTGTTGTTGTTATTCTGTCTCTCACTGTTCAAATAAACCTACCATTAAAATTATAGACTGATCATGTCTTTGTCAGTGGGCAAACGTACAAAATCAGCAGGGGATCAAATACTTTTTTCCCTCACTGTATATATATATATATATATATATATATATATATATATATATATATATATATATATATATATATATATATATATATATATTTGCGAGGGGAATAAAAACATTAGGGGGATTGGAAGTGATGCAGACAATTTACATTGATGGAAGTTACAATCTATCTGCAATATTAAAGCTGATCTACCCCCTAATTTTCTTTACAATAATAATAATAAAATAAAATATAAAAAGGAAGGAGTGAAAACCTGCAGAAACTGCCCTCCAGGGAATGAGTTTGACACCCCTGATCTAATGTATTTCTGTGGGCCATAACACTGTCATATCATAAGAGTGACATAACATCATAACGGTAATGACAAACCATAATGTTGTCATGATGCATGACATGGTAGAACTGTCTTTTTCTTCATTAGGCAATCCAGGCTGCCATCAGCCAAGCTTTCAAGACCCCCGAGGTGATCCGAATGTTTGCCAAGAAGCAGCCGGGGCAGTTGAGAACCAGATTAGCAGAGGTTGGTTGGAAGCACTGTTCATCCATGTATTTTATGTACATTATTGTTTGTACATTATTTGATACATTTACCGTAATATAAAAAGTAAGCTTTACATTCTAAAACCTGTTCAGTTCATGGAATGCTTTGAGGGCTGGATTCCCTGACACATATTAAGCCTAGTCGTGGACTAAAAAGCATGGTCAATGGAGAATCTCTATGGAAATAGCTTTTTAGTCCAGGACTAAGATTAATCTGTTACTGGTAAACCGCCCCTGAAGGTTTAGCCTAATGGTGTGAAATTCTCTGTAGATGGACCGTGATGTCATGGTGGGAAAACTTTTGAGGGACGTGTACACTCAGCAGAAGGTGGAGATTCTCACTGCCTTGAGAAAACTGGGCGAGAAGGTAAAAGGCCCATTGTACTAGTGTACTGTGATCCCTTCTTAATTTAACTTAAACTTATGATGAATACTGTAAGAGAAAGCAGCATTGAATATTTTGATAACCTGCTATGATGGAATGGTAATTGGTATAACATGTAATGAAATGTAACCATCTGGAATTCAATACATTTTATGCTATATATGTCATTAACTGTCATTTCATTTAGTGACATAATATAACAGGTGTCTTATGACTATGGTGTGGATTAATGTTCTTTCCTCAGTTTCACTCTTCATTTCTCTTTGTTCTTCCTGCAGCTTACAGTCGAAGACGACACTTTTCTGGCTGAAAATGTGACCGCAACTCTCAGCCAATTTGAAAGAATCACTGCAGACCTCGGTGAGCTTTAACTCTACTGCACTTCTCATTTATTTTACGTGTTACTATACCATGAGATCCAACCTCAACAATGTAAACTACTTAACCAGCATCTCACTCTTTTCAGGATCAGAAGACAAGATAATGGCTTTAGCTAGTTCTGGTGTGGAGAAAACCAAGGTATAGAGGGTAATCAGGTGTTGTCCAATGTCTACGATTGTGTTTTAACATCAAGTGTTTCCACCCAATAACAAAGGGCCATATATCATTGATAATTTAACCAATCATGCACTCAGACCATACTTGCTTTTAAAGAGTCAAGTTAAACTTTTGTACATTTATTTTCTTTTTCAGATGATTGTAAAACTTGGTATGCATTTGGTACTAGAGGTTTTGAGTAGAGTAGCCGATTTAGAATTTGAACAGTTGCACTGACAGTCCATGGGTCATCCTTTTTGTTAAGTGTGGCTCAGACATTTTTTGAAGGGTTTAAATTCCGTTTTCATGCTGATTGTCTTCATGGCTAAATCATTTTGTTTCAGCTCTTGGGTTGAATTATTTTTCCTGCATAACTGTTCATGTCAAAATAAATAAATGAACCATTGCAGTGTTTAAAGATGCAAAGCTGGGCTTAAATGTAATTGCATAACACACCAACCTGAACCAGCTCTGATAATTAATTCATAGGAGGCCGAAAATGTCAATCTAAAGTCAGTTTACATGCATCATTTTGGATGTATTGTGTAGTTTGCTTGACATCTGACTACAAAATACTTTCAAAAAATGTAATCATAAGTGGTTTAAGTTGGATCTCTTTATGATTTTTGTATTCCTAATATAAAGTTCAATTTCTCAATCTTCTGTCTCATTAAATATAGTCGGTGGGATTCTATACAGTAGTTCTGTTCTTTCAGCACCAGGGGGCACCATGACCAAATAATCATATTTGTAAGCAATACCAGTGCTCTGATTCCCCGACATTCTTGTAACTGAGTGGATTTGAACCGGGCAAAGCCGGTGGGGGAGGCAAGCCCTGCTCAAATGGACCGGTAATATTGTCAACAATGCAGCATGGTGCATCTTTCAAAACATCTCTTTTCCATAAAATGTATGTTTGAATTTTCATTGGGAAGGCAGATAAAGCGTTTTTATCAAAAGTAATCACTTTTGCATGTGAAAACACGCAATCATACTCATTACTCCACGTGGCTGAAGCAGCAGCTAACCTTTGGCTGAAGCAGCAGTCATGGTTTCACAGAGTTCAAAATGAGCCAGGCTGCATCCTTTTCCATAAGAGTGTACTTGCACACTTCCTCTTATGTACAACCATTGTATTGGTGTAATCATTGGCTAGAGAACGTTTCCACCATGTTGAGGTGTGCAAGTGCACACTTAGGGAAAAGGCAAGGGCATTTAGATACAGCATACCTCAAGTACAGAGAATGACACCAGTCTTAAAAGTGTAAACTCATAATATAGAACAGAACATAATCCAGACACATTTGTACTCCATCTCATCATCCTTTATTTTGTTCACGAGCAAGCATTAACTTCACTACAATTTGCCTTTCAATTGGTAGAAAAGTGAGAGCAGCCCCAACAAGCACAAAAGGAAGCGTTCAACAGTTCTGAAAATATTGTCACCTTCCATTTTTGAGCAAAGATAAAAAATAAACCAAAAATGGTTGAGTGGTGTAGACTTGTGAAAACAGACAATCTGAGAATCAGTAGTATACATGTCCCCTCTCCCACTCAAATCGCACAGTTCCACATGTAATATACACAAAATTGTTGTTTTCAGTTGAAGTGATTCATGCAACATAAACACCCCTTGAATCCCAAAGCTCCTATATGTCTGCTGGATGGACAGTGACATTAATTCAATTCAATGCAAAGGAAAATGTCCAAGGGGCTGATCAAAAGTATCACAGAACTTGACTTGAGAGGCCCAAGCTCAACTGACTGGCGCAAACAGTTGTAAACTCCGGCTCCTTGGAATGGTGGCCGTTCAGTAGTATGTTTGATTTGTACTTTTCAATAAAAAAAATGTTTTAGAGGGAGATGAGATGTTCAGATAGAATGTTAAATTGACAATGGACTGTGACAAAATGAGCGTGAGAAATTTGGAGAGAATAGGATTATACTCTTGTTCTGGTGAATTTCATGCTGCCCTCAACAACTTTGTCTGCAAATCAGGCAATAATACACTGTTCAAATTTACCATTCACTATACACAAATAGGTAACTTTATACCCACATATGCCGGCTAGAGCATTTTAATATTGTACATATTTTTAGAAGTGGATTTCCTCAATATGATTCAGTACAATATCTATAGAGGATACAATATGGTCCTACTTTCGCTACACATAAACACATGACACCTATGTAAAACATGAACTTTTAATAAAACTAGCAGTGGACTATTACAACAAAATTAAATTAAATCACTTCCCCCAGCTCCGTAAGAAATCTAGCATTAAATAGTTACAAAATAAAGTTGCCACAACTAAAAGAGCTTGGATGAGTGTTTTGTTAGTTGTGTTAATTAATGCGCTGTGATCGGCAAAAGGCACTCCCAACTTGGGCCAGCTCGAACATGACCCCCTTATTGGGCCCTAGTCATTTTGAAGGGGAGACGGTTCACCACATTTTGACGGATGACCAATAATAATAAATACATTGGACCTAACAGAAATGCGATTGAGCGACTCCAGACATATGGTTTTGTTCCGCTCAGACATATGGTTTTGTTCAAACCCTCAAAAGTTACTTGGAACTGTCTCCAAAAAATGACTTTATATGAAAAGGTACATTTGTGTTACTTGAGCCATTATGTAATTTGGCCTCTAAAAATAGATTAACATGCAAAGTATAAGACTTCCTTTATAAACCTTTCCAACAGTTTTCCAACTTTGTCATGCCTCACCTTTACTTTGCACTTTGACAAATATTCCCAAAGTCATGCCATTAAACATACTTATGAAAGTTTTGCAGAATGTACATCATTCATTTGGATTCCTAAAACGGTGGAAAACGTTAACCTGTTTGAGGGGTACAAATCCTTTACCACATGTTTCTTTTAAAGGTATTGAGAGATGAACAAGCAGTGATTTCTGAGAGGTGATAGAGGTTAACATCTGACATCGTTTCAATTAATTGTATAAGTTTTATACTAATACCAGAGGGAAAAAAAGTTTACCAAATGTAAACAAATATCTTAGAACAACTCTACAGTACAGTTCCATGTACAATAAAATCTAGTGGCCTACTGCAAAAAAATATTTAATTTGAAAGATTCTAACAACAAAGATTCAATTTGAAAGAGTTCTCATATCACAACAATGTGTCAGCAGTCACTTAAATGTATTCACATTTGTTATTACTTATTTGAAGGTTTCAAAATCCTGTAACTATGCTTAACTGTAATGAGAAAACCTTTAAAAAATGCATCTAATATATTATTATTATTTCAGGTTAAATAGCCATGCCATGAAAAAAATCATTGAAAAAATATTTTGAAATGTTCTCGCATTTCATTTCTCTTCCAAAGAATGACAACAGCCGTGGTATTGAACTGAGCCCTCCTTAAACTAGACTACCCACATGCCTCAGCTCCGTCTGTATGTTGAGATTCGTTCGTGTTTTTGTTCTAATATTTTTGATGCCACGGCAGGACTGGAATATGGCAGGACTTTTTGAAGCTGCAGATGGAGTGTAGTTCTCTGCTGGTCCTAGAAATATTAACATCTACACTCAACGTCAATTGGTTGCGAAACTGCAGAAGCTGGCTGTTTTCTTAGTACCTTTAGCTACATCGGACTGTGGTTTACTGAACGTGATCATCTTGACCTCAAATTACCTTCTGTACAATAACAGACTAGAATGGGAATTAAATACATTGTCGCCTTGAGTACAGCATTGCCACCTGTGCAAGTCAAGCAAAGTAATAATAATTTGGTGGGTGCTTATATTTGTCTCTTTTCATACGTGTGAATTGGAAATTTGTTTTTTGCATATCCCAACTCTCCCTGAAACACCCTCGGAGAGTGGGGTCTCGGGGCCATGGTCTGCCATTATCAACGGCGACCCTGGAGCAATTAAGGTTAAGTGCCTTGCTCAAGGGCACATCGACAATATAGATCACCTTGTCGGCTCTGGGATTCGAACTAGCTATCTTTCGGTTACTGGCCCAACGCTCTAACCGCTAGGCTACCTCCCGCCCTTGTGTATGTGTAGCATGTGAGGAGCCGAACGCAAAATCGACCAGTCCTGTCCCCACTAAGCAAAGAAATAACTACTTCCTTGCAAATGAAAATGCAACACTTTGCCATAGAAACATCTGTGTACAGTTCTGGGTCTGGGTTTCTCTTCTTGAAGCGGACATTTTGTACAAGTACGACGGAACAGCTTTGCCAAAAAATGTGCAACATGCTATAGCCTTTGTGACACAAATATTCTACACAACGTACTGCGTCTTTTTAGATATTGGACCCCTTTGTTTAGGCCTTCACTAACACATTGACTAATTACATGGTTTCTTCATATTTACAAAATATTAAAAAGCAATTTATTGATCTACACATATGACTTGTTCAAATATCCTCATGCACTAAAAGGAGAAAAATGTAAATATGCGGTCTACGTGTCTGAAGCATCATCTCGTTTCACTCTTCGGACTACAACTCAAGCACACAAAGAAAAAAGAACAGAAAGTCAAAGCTTCTCTCGTTTAGCGGCAAACAAATCGAAAACGGATGTGTAAGGAATATACATTTAAAAAAGTATCCATTTTGAAAGCCTTACATCAGTAAAGAAACTAAACAAAAGTGCAAGGTTGTTTCCTCACGGTAACTCAAAACAAAATGCAAATGTAGGCCAAGTTTTCCCGGGAATAAAACATTATAAATTAAAAAAGTAAGAAATCAGCGATCCGGTGATTACTATACTACACTGAGTACCACCACTAAGATGACGACAGGGAAACCTTGACAATATATCGCTTTTAAGGGAGATTTTTGTTTTGTTTTTACATCATGGCTCCTCGGTAAGGAATCTGTAAGGGTGTGCCCCCACTGGTTAGGAGGGGTAGTGAGGATGAGAACTTGTGTGAGTCGTGTGTTAGCGTGTGTATGTATATGAGTGTGTGTGAGAAGTGTCTATCACAGGAGGCTGCTGAGGGGAGAACCGCTCATAATAATGGCAGGAACAGAGCAAATAGAATGGCATCAAACACCTGGAAACCATGTGTTTTGTTGTATTTGATACCATTCCACTCCTTCTGCTCCAGTCATTACCACGAGCCTGTTCTCCCCAATTCATGTGCCACCAACCTCCTGTGGTGTGTATGTGTGTGTGTATATACGAGTGTGTGTCAGAAGTGTGTGTTTGCATGTGTGTGTGAGAATTGTGTGTTTGCGTGTTCATGTGAAAATGTATGAGTGTGTGTATATGTGCGTGTCTGTTAGTAGGTGAGTGTGGAGTCGTCCCACTCCAGCTGCTGCTGTCTGCTGGCACCCTGCTGGTCCTCTGGCTCTCCAGCCTCCTCATCCTCGCTGCTCTCCGACTCGGCACTTGTGATGTCGTCTTCCTCCTCACCTTCCTCGCTCTCCTCCTCCTCTTCCTCCTCCTCCTCACTGCTGTGTTGGTCCTCGTAAGTCTACCAGAGGAAAGAGGGAGAGGGTCAGTCTTTCACACATTATTAAGTGATTGTGAGAAAGATCTGAAAGAAGTGGAGGAACCTGATGAGCAGATGCGTAGGCTGTACCCAACACTTATGCTGCTGCCATACTGTTTACTATTATTATTTATCTTGATACCAGTCACTTTCTCCTAATCCCCTCCTACATGTACACATCTACCTCAAATACTCCAGTATCCCTGCACATTGTACATTTGGTATTGGCACTGACCCTGTATGTAGCTTCCTCTCTTAT